AACTCTAGCTGTCCATTCTTTATCACTCTTAAGAGAGTTTAAACTTAAGAACTCTTTAAAATGAGCTTCTAGAAGGCTACAATGAAAAAACTAACCATACCACTCTTATTTTATTTAAAAAGTCAAATTTCATAACTTTTTTCTACTCTAAGAGATTAAATTCTTCAAGAAGCTTTTTAGAGAAGACATGTAAGTAAAGTTAGCACATTATCTACTTAAGATTTGTCTCTATGTATCCAATTAAGGAGATTCACTTTAGCCCTCAAAGATCAGTTTAAAAAGGACTTTTTACTTCAAGAAACCAATTAAAATCAAAGCAAACCTCTTCAAGAGAGAGAGATCAAGTCTGCCAGTCATAGTTCTAGGATTTTTTATAAATTATTTCTATAAATAATTAGCTACATGTTTAGGAAAAAGGTATAGTTGGGGTGATAGATCAACCTATCTAGTTTTTAGCTTTTCTTTATCGTTTCTGCATTTTTAAGTTTGTTTTCATTTATGGTTGGGGCGACAATCCAATTTCTTGTATTATTTAGTCTTCTTCTATTATGTTTTTTTTGTTTCATGTTTTTAAACTTTCTTTAAATTGTTTTCAGTTTTTTTCAGTTTCAATTTAAGTTTAATGCAATTTTAGTTTTTATTTTGTTTTCAATTCAATTTAAGCTTTCTTAAATTTATGTTGTTACTTTCAATACAATTCAATACAATTTGTGTTTTCTCTTTAAGATTCCTTTAGCTTCACGTAATTCATGCTCTTTAAAAATTTGTTCTTAATTTAATTTATTGTTTGAAGTTTAATTTGCTAAGTTTAAATTGTTTGCATGCAATTGAGCTTAATTCAAATTTTGATTGAGGTTTTAAAGTTTAAATTCAGTTTAATTAGTTAAGTTTAACTTGTTAGATTTAAGTTTAATAATTCTTACATGTTTAATTAGTTAAAGCATATAGATTTCATACTTAGGTTGTTATTTAGATTAAGTTTTGTTACATGTTAATTTGCTACTATATGTTTTAATTTCACTTTTAATCTTGTTAGTTGCATTAATATATTTGTGGTTCAAGTTAAATTCAATATTCTTGCATACTTAAGTTTAATGTGAGGTTTCTTGCACGTTGCTTAGGTTTAATTCATAAGTTTTAAATTTGTTTTAGTTATACTTGTTTCTTATATTGCAATTTAGCTTAATTAGGGTTTATTGTATCTTTAATTAATTGTTCGTTTCTGTTTGTATTTAGAGAGATACAGTTTAAATCTTAAATTCTATTTTTGCATAATTAGGCTAAGTTTGTTGTTGTTTTTAGTTAAAATAAGTTGAAGTAGTTGCATAAGTTAGGTAATTTAGTTAATTTCATATTAATTCATTTATTTGAATATAACTAAAGGTAAGATAATTTCAGTACTTAATTCACTCATTTTCAATCTTTGTGGGATGGTCTTTTATTTGATACTTGATATAGTTTCATGCACTTGCAGATACTCAATCACTTCCAATATCATGACCATCAAATCATAATTTTGTATTCCAACTGTTAAATCCTCCACTAACAAAAACATCACTTTTACAAAAAAATTTTAACATTAGAACTAAACAAATAACAAAATAAACAAAACATTGATTCTTTATACTATATTCTAACCAATATTTATGCTTATCAAATCAAGCAGGATTAAATCAACGCAATCTACCTCCAATTTCTCTTTATGGAAAATTATGATTACAATTTGGCAAAAAATTAGTTGGTCAACAAAAAGTGATTTATTGGTCAATGAAAAATAAAATTATCTTTTTTGAAAACTGTTTTTCGAATTTGGAAAGGGAAAGATATTTTTTGAAAAAGAGTTGTTTATGAGTATAATTATTTATTAATATTTTTAGAATACTTTTACTTATAAATAATATCATATTAATAAATGAATAATATTATATTAATAAATGATATTATTATATATTAACAAATAATATAATATTAATAAATAATATTATAAATAAATATATACTAAATACTAATATAAATAAATAATATTATATTACTAAATCATATTAATAAATAATATTATAATATATTAATAAATAATATAAAGAATAATAAATAGTTTTATTTTAAGTATTTTTTTATATTAACATCATATTTTAATATTAAATATTATTATTAAAATATAATTATTTTTGAATATTAATAATTTTAATAATAAATAATTTCAATATATTTTAAAATTAAATTATTTTTAATATTTTAATAGTTATATTAACATTATTTGAAAAAAAGATTTTTCGAAAAACATTCAAAAAACATAAAATCTTTTTGAATTTAGAAAATATAAATATTTTTCAAAAATCATTTTTCATAAGTCATTTTTTACGAAATAAATAGAGCCTAATTCTTTAATTTGGATCGCATTGCGTGCAAATGTGAAGCTTTTTAGGACTTAGTAGGACTTAAACTTTCATTGAGGAAAAAATTAAAATTATATGTATTTTAAAAAAATAGAAATATTTATTTGATCAATTTATTTTTTATTGAAATTAGTATTAATTTTATTAATTATTACTATCACTTAGATAAGTTATTTTTAGTAATGAACATCTTGAAGACTTATTTGTATAATTAAATGAGAAATAAAGATAATTTAGTTGTGTATATTAAAAAATGTATTTAAAAATATTTATAACGAAATTATTGTGCAATGTTTTTAAAATATAAAAAATTAGAGACTTAATTTAGAATTTAACGGTTGAGTATTTTTTAATTAATGATATTATCTTTAATTTAATTGAATAAAAGATTAAACATTTTTTTATTAGTTTAATTTAAAATTTTATAATGATAATTTGATACACGCATATTTTAATTGAATGAAAATAGTGAATCTAAAACTTAAATGAATTAAAAAAAAAGATAAACCATATTTTTTTACGTTCGATGAAAATAAAAAATTTACATTTTTTGGTGTTCAACAAAAAAAAAAGAGAATGAAATTTATTTATTATAGAACATAAATTTTCATTAAGAAAAGAAAAAATAAATCCACCAACTCAAACGAATAAAACATTAATTACATTGGCAATCCATGAAAGCCATCAACATATCTCAAAGTCAAAATAGTCCTAGAAGTAAAAAATCAATTTTTTTAGGTGTAGAAATTAAACCTCAGTTTTAAGGATGAGATTTTATGAAAAAGATTTCTAATAATTGATTCCATCGAGTTGAGAAACAACTTCTTTAACTAACTCAAACTACGTCGAAATATTGATCTCAGTTCTGACACCACAGTTCAAAGGACCCATTTTGGTGATTGAATCACCAAATTCACAGTTTTTCACCTCCATCCTAAGAAAAAAAAAACCTAAAACAACTTGATGAAAGAAACAATTAACAAACTTCAAACTGGTTTGGACTTTTTGCAGTTGTTTGAAACTTTAAAAGACAATCAAAGCAAGCAAAAAACAAAAATGGAAACACCCATCATAAGAGAGGGAAGAAAAAAAAAGAAAAAATTTTTTGAAATGTGTTGATGTTTGCAGAAATTATCTAGAAATTTGTTGGTGTTTGAATGTAGCTGTGAGGTAAAAAAAAAAGAAGATTTACATTCTCAGCATCTAAACACTTTAAAATCGACCAAAAATAAAAAAATACCTGTCAAACTTGGCCCATTATTTTCCTCTATTTAATCACATTTTCTTGGCATCCAAACATAAAAAAAAAATTCACCAAAAAATTAAAAAAATGGATAAATCGACAAAGTGAGTGTTTTTGTAACAACATTAAAAAGAGTTTAAAAGAAATAGGAGATTTTGATCTATTGCCTCTTTTTTTTTTTGGTGCCTTTCTCTTTCTATTCTCTCTCAAACAAAAAGGAGAGAAAGAATATTATTTAAGTTTTAATTTTTATTTTTGTTGTTAGAGAGAAGGTTGAGAAATGAGAAAGAAGAAAATAAAAATTTTGCTTTGGGTAGAGTTAGAGAGAGAGAAAAAAAGAGATTATAACATTTTTTTATTGATAACAATCAAATTTTAATGACACCTTTAGTGTACTACCTTATGAAATCTTATTTTTAGTTAATCCAAAAGTTTTTAGTTTTTAAATCTATTAAATATTAATTTTTAAAAATAATAATATGAATCAAATGAATAAAATTATAAATTCAAATTTTTTGAGTTAAACATCATTAGGGCGAAAAAAAGTTAAACGATGTGAATTTCGTACTTCGCTCCACCTTATAACAATGTTATAATATATTTTTAACTTACCAATTATTCATATTTTCTCATTTATTTTTCACTTAAAATTAAATAATTGTAATGTAATATTTTTTTAAAAAAATTATAGTTTTAAAATAAAAAATTTATATGCATTAAAATTTGAATTTAAATTTACTAAATGTTATTGTTTTATTTATTATAAAAATAATTATATAAATTAATTAAATTAAATTTTGAATTAATTGCTATATACCATTCATCTTCATCTAATCACCCCTGTCAATTCGTATTCGTTTTTATAAAATTAATCATTCTATATAAAAACTTATACTCTTGTAAAAATGTATAGAATTAATCATTCTATATAAAATATATACACGTTTTTTAAATCATAAATATGTACAAACGTCAACGGTTAACTTGTAAAATTCAAATTATGAATTCATATGAATCTGTAAGTAAAAAGAGAAGTAAGAATTTTTTTTTTAAAAAAGAAAATAAATATGTAAATATAATAAATAAAGACAAAATTGAAAAGGGCACAAACAAGATTTTTCAATACGATAATTATATGACAATTGACAAGTGGATTTTCTTACGAGATAACTTCATCCTCTAACTCTTGGTTGAATCTATAGGTAAAAAGAGATGTAAGAATTTTTCAAAAAAAAAAAAGAAGAAAATGAATATGTAAAAAAAAAAAAAAAAGGACAAAATTGAAAAGGGCACAAAAAATCGAATCAGCAGCGTATTCCATGAAAAATAGACCTTTAACAGAATGATAAAAGACCCTTTTTCATTTCTTTAGTATCCCCCCTTTTTTAATTGGCTTCGTTTAAACGACACCGTTCTTAGGTTTTGATAAACGTGCTTTAAAACCCTAAGCCCCATTTTCTTTTCTTCTGCTTCTGTCTTATCCGCTGCTTCTTCTGTCTCTCCTTCTCCCATTGTAAATCATCAAACAAGATGGGAACTGTTACAGACTACAACTTCATAACTCTAACTGCCATAGTAACTGTATATTTCTATTTGCTTCTCCTTCTCTTTCTCTTGCTTTGTTTCCTTTTTGTTTTCCTCTATAATTGACTTATTGGTTTATATTGGTGTTTTGTGTAGGTGGTGTATCAGTTATTTTTCTTTATAATCACTGTTCTTCTCAAGTTTGATAAAGTCACTGATTTTGCAGGTAAATAATCCATTCTTTAGCTTCTTTTAATGTTCTTTTTCACTCTTATTTTAAAGCTAAGCTTGGCAGAATTCAAATCTTTGGTAAGATCCATTCCATATAGCAAAAACAGTTTTTCTTTGGGTCATTTGGATTCTTTTTTTTTTTCAATTACCTTTTATAAGTTATGTAAAGGTATCTTTTTTTTTTTTTTTTTTACACAGGAAGCTCGAATTTTGCTGTAATTTCTGTGTTGACTCTGGTAATGAAAGGTTCATGGCATTTTCGACAGGTAATTCAGAATCGTTCTCTAACTTTCAAAGATGAAAATACATTGACAAAGAAACTTTTATGGCATTTCTGAAATCATTGACCGGAAAAGTTTGCATGAAATGTATATATTAATCTTTCTTAGGTTATGATTCTGATACGGATTTAACTCAAACATTATTAGTTTAGTTGTTTTGTTACAAGTTCTTTTAAATGATCTTGACCTGGTAATTTAGTTCGGTTCTAATTTGGTTGATTTTTAGCATGCTCTTGCTCTTCTAAAATTGTTAGTAATGATCATAGTTCACAACTTGTCGTTTATAAGACTAAACTGATAAGAGTTCCTTCTATGGGATGCATATCTTATTTTAAGATAGTGCTGGTCTTTTTGAGCCATTTGGAGGTGTCTAGGGGTTATCTGTATTTTACAATTTAACTTCTTTAACTTAATTTTCATATGTCACACTTTGAATTAAGTTGTCTGCACATTTACGGGAGGAAGTAACGCTAAGCAGAACTCTAATAAAATGAACTAGGTTCAAGTTTTTGATAGTGAGTGGTACAGAGATTTTTTGACATTTTCCTTTCCTTTTTTTGTTCTTTTGTTAATGAATGAAAGAGCAAAAAATTTATATTATTTTATGTCTCCTAGATACCACTAGTTTTTTATGTCCTAAGTGACAATTGAGAATCTGGATGATCTGATGCTTCTGTGTGTATTTCTGCCTAGAATAATGTTCTGTAGACATATTTTCGTTATGGCTGATTTTGCAGCTCTGCTTTCAGGTAATCTTGACTTTTCTTATAGTAACGTGGAGCCTACGCTTGGCACTATTTCTGGTTATAAGGTATAATAGTATGAAAGTTTATAAAAACACTCTTATTTTATATATCTTTCTTTTTCTGTATATTTGATGATTTAATCTTTTGTGTAAGTCATGAATGCTTTCTGTGTAGCAATGCACCTGGTTCTATGCACATATCCTTAGTTATTATCTATGTAGCTTGATTTATCCTTTTTCCAGATAATCTGAATAAAATATTTTGCCCAAGCCACTTTGGATAACTCATGAAGTTTTTCATTCTTCAACTCTATTTAGGGCCCCTTATCAAGTTGAAGGCCATAAAAGATATGGGCTGCTCATTGGAGATCCAGTTATTGTTATTAGATGTACATGACTTAGTCATCTCATACAGCTTTTTCATCTTCACTTTTGTAGCATCAACAGTTTAACTATGGTTTATTGTTTGTTGACTACCTTCATGTTTACAATGACTTAGAGCCTATCTATAATAGCTTCATTTTCTAATAGTCCGACATTGATCAAACAAATAAAGTAAAGGTGCTTAAAATTATGCTTTGATCAATGTTCTCTAACTTTGGGCCAGCAATTTTTAAGATCTCCCTTAATTCTAGATGCTTTTAACTTTTGAGTCATATTGTAAATATTATCCTTCAATTTATAAGACTCAATCATAGATTCACTTTTTCTATTGCTTGTGAAATCGTAAAAGGGAATTTAACTAGCTTTCCTTGTTGTCATTATTTCTAAGCATGGAAATTTTAGTTACAGGTTTTGTTGTCCTACGTTCAGTTGTGCTTATGCGACATAATTATAGCAATTACCTTTGACTGAAAGTAATTCCTATATATAAATGTCTAATTTTATTTTAACAGAAACTTGATGAACTTTAATGAGATCGAACAATAAAATTACAATCATGCATAAAAACATAATTATATTTATTTCTTTAATCAAAGTATCCTTTTTAGCTGAAATATCTTTCACCTTTGAGTGCCTTGTTTGGCTTTAGACACTGGTGTGTATTGCAAGGTTAGCTAGATAACTGGTGTTTATATCTTTAGAGTGTATCCATACTCAACTTTTTATCCATTAACACTATGTTTGGATAAATATTAATAAAGGAAAGGAAAGGAAAAGAAAATTTTTTAAAGGAAAGGAAAGGATACATGTAACTCTTGTTTGGATAATTAAAATTACTAAAAGAAAGGAAAGAAAAAGAATTCTAACAACCATTATTTGGATAAAGAGTGAAAAAAAAAGGAAATGATTCATTATAATAATTTTTTCCAATTATAATCTTTCATTGCCTGTGATTTTAGAGCACTCTTGGATCATGATACATTTGCTATCTTATTTGGTCTCACAATTTCTACTGTACCAGTGGTTTTTATATTGGAAGGGATATGTGAAACTTACTTGAAAAAAGAGATGACTTTGAAAAAATTATAGGATGATTGTGATCTGCTTAGGTTTTTTTGATTAGGTTTTTAGTATTAATAAAAAGATGGATATAATAGTCTTTTTATAAAAAAAAAATTTCAACTTTCCTTTTCCTAGTTTTTACTCCAAATTGAGGTATTAAAAAAATTGGATTTACAAGGGAAATCAAAGTTTATTTAGTTTCCACCTCTTTCCCTTTCATTAAAAATTTATCCAAACAAGGGGAGGGGGTTTTTGTTTCCTTTCCTTTCCCTCAATCCAAACACACTTTAAGTGTTAATTAGGGAAAACCTAACTTCAACTTTTTGTTAATGGACAATGTTGGATGCTCTTGTCTAGTTTGTACCTTGAGGTATCTATTTCTGTACCATAATATTTATTTATAAAAAAAATAAATCATTGATTATCTCTCAACTCTATAATATTGGTAAAAAGATAATAAAAAGAAATAATAGTATGGAAAGTTTTTGTTTGGCTGTCAGTAAGCAGCAGACTGAGCAGTGATGAATGATGATTAAAACATTGTCTTAGCATGATTAAAATTTAGAGAGGAGGTGAGGGCAAGTATCTATGGGCTATTGCTGGACATATTGTCATGTAATATAAGGCCATGGACTGCATCAAAAGTTTTGGCCTTGTCATTCAGGCCAAGATTTAACACTGCATTTAGTCCTTAGCAATGATAGCTTGTTGATAATCAGTTCTATGAAATTTTCTTTATTTATGCAAGATGCCCCATTTTGTAAGATTCATGTAAGAGTTACACTTGATAGGCAATAATATTACTGTTATAATTATTTCCATTTTCATGGGTTAGACTATCCAGAGACCAGTATTCACTTGGTCTTGTGGTAGAATTAACACAACACATCAAGCATTGGAATTGTCCCTTTCAATATCAGTAAAAATCAGGCAAACAGTAGGCATTTAGTTGGCATGCTACTTTGAATTAGCAAATGTTCCATAGCATCTATTTTAACTGATTCTGACTGTTGTAGAATTTGCCTATATACTGTTGAAGGAATGCTTTTCATAACAATTCGTCTTATGTAAACTTATTCATAATTATGCTTTTGTGGCATGCTGGTGACCAGAATTTTGCAATGGGGGGAGGATCGACGTTCTGATAAGATGCGTGGTAATTTGGGGAAATTAGCAGTTTTCTATATAGTTCAGGTCTTATTATCCTTCTGATTACAACTATTTCTTTGCTGTTTATTGTGGTGACATTTAATAAACTTTAATGCATCTCAATCTTTGGATGCATCTCAGGGTCTCTGGGTGTGGACTGTGAATTTACCTGTAACAGTGGTTAATGCGAGTGACAGAGATCCTTCCATTCAGGCTGAAGACATTATAGGGTGGATTATGTGGTCTGTGGGTACGTCGGTTGAAGTTATTGCTGATCAGCAAAAACTTTCTTTCAAGAATTCTCCAGAAAACAGAGGAAAGTGGTGCAACATTGGACTATGGAAATACTCTCGCCATCCAAACTATTTTGGTGATGTGAGCATCATATCATGACTTTCCAATGTCTCACCAGGAACCAGCAAGAAAGTTAGAAAATTAGCTTTGACTTTCTTATGCAACTGGTTGCATGCTTCCCTAGATTCTAGCTAATTGTGCTTGATTTATTTTAATGTCCCAAATGCTAACTGATTGTGGGATTAAGTGCATACTTCATTTTAATCTTGTTAGCTTCCATACTCTGTCATGCTACCACTCATGAGCTTCTGTTTTATGGTTCAATCGTGTGATTCTGAGATATAAAGGATGGTAGGTTTATCTAAGTTTTTCTGGTTTACAGATTGCTATGAGCATATAGATGTTATAGACCTCTAGAATGGAAGAGTGTGGTGTAATCTTTTCTGCTTCTGTCTGAAACCCTGTGGTGCACCTTCAGTAAAAATGTTGAAATTTTATTTGCTTTTCAACATCATTCCTAACTAACATCATCTACATCTGGTTTTACTTTTAACATAGTTAGGACCAGACTCGAATCTTCATTTATGTGCTTCTGTACCATCTCTAATGCACCTGTAATTGTAGGTTGTAATAGTTGGATATCTTTAATCTGAAAATAGCAGGGTATGGATTTGCCTTTCCTTAGATGACTGAGTAGCATCTCCCTTAAATAGGTGACATGGGATTCAATTTATTAAGAAATGTGGGGTTTGGGTTATATTGCTTGTAAATAATAAGATAGGGATCTCTTTTGCTGTGTCTCATTGACATGACATAATATTTCTTTTGGTCAAAGGGAAACTAGAGTTGAACCTAACAATATCAGAGTCACTAGAGCTTTGATGCATCAACCTTCCTTGATGATAATTTCTCTGAATGATGCATAACAAATATTTTTGCCAGATTTTACTTTCCTGGGGTTTTTTCGTGGCTGCTGCTCCTGTACTTGAAGGTGCTGAATGGCTTGTAATTGTTGGGCCAATCTTTCTGACATTGCTGCTTCTTTTTGTTAGTGGCCTACCAATCCTTGAGGTTTGTTTTCCTTGCTTCAATTTTTATTGTAAGATTTTGCCACAATTTTGAAATATGCTGATGTTATATTGCATCAATGTACACACACAGAGGTCAGCAGACAAGAAGTTTGGTAATGTGGCTGCATATAGGATTTACAAGAAAACTACTAGGTTGGTCATCCTTTCTTCCACTATTTAATATCTTGAAGTATGAGGAGGCGGCGGAAGTTACTAAGTCTTATATTTCTGATTTCAGCCCTCTTATTCCACTGCCACAAGCAGTGTATGGGAACCTGCCGTTATGGTTCAAAGCCACTTTTCTCTTTGAATTTCCTATCTACAGTCATAAATTTCCACAAGAAGGGCCAAACCGGTGAGACTAAATATATTCATTTTTTTTTTTGAATTTTAAATGGTCACTTTGGGGCTGTTACACAACCTTAAACTTATTTTCCACTAGTAAGTTTGTCTACTGTCCAATTCTATCAGGCAAATTAACCACATCCAAAATGCATGCTTTTCCTTTTTTTTTTTCTCTTTTTTAAGATGCATTATAATAACTGCTAATATTGTATTTTCTCTCCTTTTTTTTCCCTTTTCACGAAAGGTTTTATTTTAAATTTTTTTTACCTTTACATGCAACTCTGTAAGTTTGTCCAAGGCTATATTTTGCTGAAATAAAAAATGTTGGGAAATGGGATTAATTTTTAAACTTGAAACAACACACCATGAACTGCAGCATGCTCTGTTCCATAGTCTGCCTAGCAAAAACTTAATCAGAAAATTCTTATAATATTCTTGTAATATCCCATTAATACTTCTCTGATGCTTGTTCTTGATATTTTTGACCTCTCTTTCTTCCTATCCATTGTTCTTTTGTTTGAAAGGTGTTTAATATTTTAATAGTCCCTCGTAAGGTGAAAATGACATGTAATTGAACTCTCAACAACCCTACTTCCTCTAGGAAGGAAAATGAAGGGAATTTGTTTTTCTTCATGTTTCGTACAAGAGAGGGAAAATGGAAGGAAAGAAAGGAGATAAGAGTAAATTTGTAAATAGAATATTTAATTTTGATTGAATGAAGTCCTTGGGTCATCCCATTTTTCTTCATACCAAACAGTCAGTTCTTAATTGAATATCATTTCTCGCTTTTCTGACTAATGTATATATAGTTCAGCCCATTTAATAAGATGACGTGTATTCAATTTGTTCAGAACTAGGAGGTCTAACTACATGTTTGGAAATGAGTGAATGGTTGATAATTTATGAGTTGGATAAGCTTCATGTGGGTTTATGTAGTGAAAATGGATCCCAAAGTCTCTGCAATAGCATAGAGACATTGTATTTTATACTATTAAGTCTGTAATCCATATTTAGTAAGTATTTACGGCATGCAATTGATTTGTCGAGAGCAAAGGAGAGAGGTGAGCATAGGCACTTGCATATTGCTTTTGCATTCTTGTGCAAGCATACTGAATGTGGTTTGTACTTCTAGTATACATATGACAAACACCTTTAGCTCTAGGAACAAATGTGGAATTGAAAGATTATGAGTACCATCTGAGCTGGTTCACATCTCCAAACTTCATTTCACTTCCCTGGATAAATAATAAAAACAAAAATATTGGTAATGCAGTAATGCTACAATGTTTCAATGATACTACTGATTCAAGAGTTTTTCTATTATTTTCCTTTTGTGCAAGGTGAAGCACAAGCCAGGAAGAAATCAGGGATGAATCAAAGTTGGGTTAGTACTTGTTCTTTGGATTAGCCAGGTAACGGATGAGTTTTCAAAACTTTATTGGCTTCTTTCAAATGAAGGCAAATTGGATGTTAAGGCGGTACTGTTGTGGTGCTTGTGTTTTTGAGGTACTTTAACCTTGTGGACAAGTACAAATGTTTGAACCTGGAACCAAAAAGACTTGACTTTGTTCCGCAATGAAACTTGACTTTGCCAACCTTTTCAGAGGGAATTCGACTAAATAAATAAATTGCTATGTTAAGCTGATAATCAGAAGAGAAACATTAAGAAGCTTAAACGAATTTTACCTTATTTTTATAGAGAATCAAACTCGGCATTGGCATGTGCTCCTGAGACGTGAATGTCTAGCGTTTTCGAAATATATCAAATGTTTTAATGTTGTTTATAAATGCTGTTAAGCGGTGAAAAGAAATGTCATGAAAATTTTATTTTTTAAATAATTCTTTAAAATTTTAAATGTTTCCGCATAATGAATTAAGCTTTTTAAAAATATTTAATTTAGGATTATACATTTTATTTACCTTTATTTAAATATAATATTTTATTTAAATAAAAATTAATGTTATCTGTTTATAACAATTTTAAACTTTTTGGAAGGAAAAAACAATGTTAAATTCATGTCGTTAAAAAAATGTGATGTAAAAAAATTAGAAGATATTTATCTAATTTAAAAAATGCTTTTAAACTTTAATTTTTTCCTTTCTTCACTCTTTTCTTACACTTTTTTTCTTTTTAAGCATCTATTTGATGGACGAGATTATTTTTTATGAGATTGAAAACAACGTAACAATACGAGAATTAAAATTAATAAGGGATTATATATTTGGATAACAAAAAAATGATGGCAGCGAGATGAAAATAAAAATGACTATTAAAAATTTAGTGTATTGATAAACTGTTTTTATATATTTTAATATGATTGATAATATTTAAAATATTAAAATATTTATTTAATCAAAATATTAATACATATTATTTATTTATTATATAATAAAATTTATATATTATTATATAGGCAAATTTATTATATTAAATCAATAAAATTATTTTAAAATGTTTAAATAAAAAATCAAAACGAAAAAACAAAACAATACAATTAAATGGCATGAAAATGACTCAAACTTTGAGTGCAAAAACAAAAAAGGTAAAAAAATATTAACAAAAGGGTTTTTCTAAGTACAATAGAAAAATTCTTTTTTACGACCCGACATTTTTCTTGCAGAGATTTTATATAAAAAATATCAATTTCATCTTTTAATAAATTATAATTTTATCCTTTGTGCACCTCATTTATTCTTTTTTTTTCTTCTCTTTCTTTCCTTTTTTTTTCTTTTTTTTCCTTCTTTCTTAGATCCTAAACTCTAAATCATTAAAACTAAAACCAAACTTTGAAGCCTTTGTTAAATCTTGAGTGGGGTGTAAAAATGGATAAAGAAATGACAAACAATAATGGGAGAGATAAACCTGATGAGGTAATTCTTTTTAACCTAGTGCAAACTAGTATCATTTATGTTTATGAAAATCCATTTAAAAAATTACAATATAATTTTTGAAAATTATATTATATTTTTAAAAATGAATTTCCAAATACATTATTATTTTTTGAAATCTGAAAGCCGTCTATTATTTTTGCATGTTATAATTTTTAACATATTATGTTATATAGATCAATTTGAAAACTATACTAGTAGAGTAGGATTAGTAACCAAAAAATTTAAATACTAGATATGATTGTACGGATTCATTTACTACATAAGAGGTAAGATTATGTTTCAGAAATGGTTTAGGGTTATGGAAAGTATAAAATATTAGTTTGTATAGATATAATAAGTTAAATATGTTGTGCAGGTATTTTGTAGTAGAGAAACTTTGACTTCATGGGCTAGGCAAGTTGGAAAAGATCAAGATTTTATAATTGTGATTAAAAAGTCTTAGGTGGGAGGCTTGAGGAAACCTATAATAAGATTGTTATTTGAACAAAGTGGAGAATATAGACAATAAAAAGAATAAGGGCAATGTAGAAGAAATGTAACAACATAAGAGAACATGAATGATCAGTGAGGCATGATTTCACAATTATCTACCAGTATAACAATTATAGGGAGATTCATTTGCAGGTTAATTAACTAAGAAAAAAGAAATAATTGCTGATATGTCAAAAATATGTTTTGATCTAGAAACATTTGTTGACCATAAAACATGATAAGAAGAATGTCAGCATTATAAAAATTATATACAATGAACGTAAAAGATACAAATATGTTGAGAAAGTTAGTAGATCATAAATGTAACAACTAATGAAATAGTTAACCGATTGTAAATACCTAAATTGGCATAAGACTGACGAATCAATCGACTGTATGAAAAACCTGCTTTGGTTTCATTTTATTAATGTAGATTTTTGCAAGCCTTCCCAAATGTCTTAATTATGGATTGTACCTATAAAACGAACAGGTACCCTATGTCATTGCTAGAAATTATGGTGTAACTTCTGCTAAGATAACATTTTCTGTTGCATTTGTGCACATGTAAGTCGAACGATCTAAAAATTACATTTGAGCACTAGACAAGTTAAAAACTTTGATGCCTGTTGGTAATTTTTCTATTATCATTGTTATTGATAGAGAGTTGGCATTGATGAATGTTATAGAGACAGTGTTTCCCATCACAATTAATCTTCTATGTAGATTACATATCTAAAAAAATATGCTTGCAAATTGTAAGAAGTTTTTTGAGCAAAAGGAGAAATGGGAGGTATTCATGTCCAGTAAGAGTGTATTTGTGTATTCTTTTACTGATGATGAGTGTGAAAGGCATTTAAGTTCACTAGAAATTGATTACCAACTTATCCAGGTGTAATAAAGTATGTGAAAGATCAATGGTTAGCAAAGTATAAAGACAGATTTATTACTGCTTGGATGGATAAAGTAATGCACTTTGGTAATGTTACAACAAATAGGTATGATTTATATTACATTTTAAAAATTATTTATGGTTTAGGGTTTCATAACAAATCATTAATATACCATTATTAATTCATTTAGGGCCAAAAGTGCACATAAAAAATTAAAAGGACACCTTGGATCATTTCAAGGGGATTTTAGATCATCATGAAGGATAATCAATGCACTTATTGAACTTCAATATATAGAGATCAAGGCTTTATTTGAGCGAAGTATTATGGTTGTCGAGCATAATTTCAAGCCTTCATTGTTTAAAAAGTTGCAAAGTTTGATATTAAAGAGCGCACTGAATATGATATTTGATGGATGTCAAATGAGCTAATCATGTTAGGATTGATGCAAATGCTAGTGGTTACTTAATTAGAAGCACGCATGGATTATCTTATGCTTATGAAATTGCAGAGCATATAAGGGTGAGAAGTCTAATTTTTTTATTTGAATTATATCTGCATTGAAAGAAGTTTGATTTAATGAAGAGCCAAGGTAATTATATCTCTAAAGAGTTGTACATCCAGTCCAAAGTTGACTGAATCATAAAATGCTTTAACTAATGGATGAGTTCGGTAAATTGGCCATAAATAGAAAGTTATGAGAATTTGGTGATCCGTCAACAACTATGTTAATTCCATTATTAGAGATGACTAAGACAAAAGATCGCAAAGCTATAAAAGTAGATACCTCCACATAATGTGACTCATTATGATATTTGATGGAGGCCAAATGAGCTAATCATGTTAGGATTGATGCAAATGCTAGTGGTTACTTAATTAGAAGCACGCATGGATTATCTTATACTTATGAAATTGCAGAGCATATAAGGGTGAGAAGTCTAATTTTTTTATCTGAATTATATCCGCATTGAAAGAAGTTTGATTTAATGAAGAGCCAAGGTAATTATATCTCTAAAGAGTTGTACATCCAGTCCAAAGTTGACTGAATCATAAAATGCTTTAACTAATGGATGAGTTCGGTAAATTGGCCATGAATAGAAAGTTATGAGAATTTGGTGATCCGTCAACAACTATGTTAATTCCATTATTAGAGATGACTAAGACAAAAGATCGCAAAGCTATAAAAGTAAATACCTCCACATAATGTGACCCATCACACTTGGAAATTGTGTTATCTGCTTAGGATAGTACATCACCACCAATCATTACAAACTCAGTGAAAGTGCTAACATAGATCGCAAAGTTTTCTGATTAGCGTTCCTATGGTAAACCAAAAATACGATATTTTGATAGTTTACTAGTAGAGTTACATCTATATATACAAAGCATCATTGATGTTGAGGTTGGTAGATATTGTAGTTTTCGTTTTATTACTAGGTTGCTTGGATTTGGATAAGATGGTTAGGTATAGGTGTAACATATTTAATTGAAGAGCTTAACCGGTTTCAAGGCAAATATGTGACTTTATATGGATCCATTGAGTGTTTTGAGGAATTGTTAGAAACCTTATTGTGTTTTGACATTTTTGCCTTATATGATAAGTGGATGACTTTACCTAATATGGGTTATTTGATTGCCTCACGATATAACATTGTGCTAGTCCACATTTGTTTGATAGTGCTTGACATATCTCCCTATTAGATTTCTACCACTTGCACCATTGGAGCATAGAATCATTACAATTGGATTTGTTAATGATTGTCGTTTTGTGCATGTATTACTAATTAGTGTTGTCATTTATTGTTTATATTTATCGTTTCTATTTTATGCAAGTGTTAATGATATTATGTAAATAACATTTTTATTTTATGCGGGTGTTAATGAAATGTTCTTATTAGAATCCGTTCTCACTAATACCTTTTCTTACATGCAACTGGTGTAGGATTCAATATAATTGTGCTCGAGAGTGAGAGATTCAATATGTACCCACATTGAAGATTTTAAGTTATTATTTAGTGCAAATTCTGATATGACCACTTAAGAAACAATACACAATGATTGATTATTTTTTTCAATACTTTTTTAATAGATTAATGTCTATGTTAACAATTTATATTAATGTTTAGGGTATATATATTGAACATGTTATCAAATTGACGAGTGTTATATTGAACATGTTATCTAACAAGATGTTTAATATTGAATAGGTAATCTAATAGATGTTTTATAAATATAACATATTATAATAGATATTTATAAACATTCATAACTAAATAAAAATAATCCATAGTATTAATACATCAAACCTATCCCTCGGTCTCTTGGTAGAAATATATACATGTGGTGGACAAGTGAGCTTTGCTTTCGTAGATCAATTGGTGTGAAACTCTCTAGTAAGGCTGATATTATCGTCTCGGTAGAGGAGTAGAACTTGTGGGTAAGGATGTTGTGGTCACTACTAAGGGTAGGAACGGAGTGGGCATGGGTGGCCTAGGCATTATTGGGGATGGAATTGGCATGAGTAGCCTAGATGGTGCATGTGTCAATATTGGTGGTTTAGACGGTTT